GTAGCTGTAATAACAGGCTAGTTTGTGGCTATTAACCGGCTGACTTCAGTACACAAGCTGGCGGCAGCAGCAGAGGAGCAAGCAGGCAGGGGCAAGCAGGAGCAATATTAGTGTCAAGCTGAAGTCAGCAGCCATAGGTATCAGGTTTAAAATGGAAAATTATATGAGTGCTTGGGGAATCAGCAGCCAAGGGATGGTGCAGAAGTGATGGTAAAAAGGACGCAGTGTAGCAGTAGCAACAAGAAATATGATACTTGATACAGAAATTTCAGATGCATTGCTTAAATACAACATTCAGGGGTGGAGCAAGGACTTCAGAGTTCAGCAGAAAAATGAGTATCAGTGGAGACTGATGAACAGATCAGGCATTGAGTCATACAGAGCTTCAGACGGCTTAGTAGAAAGAACCATTGCTAGAAACAATAGAATGGGTCTAGATCCTGACACGTGTTTCCTAATCTTAGCAGCACTACTGTAGGGTCATCAATTTGAATCCTAACCACAACACTAATATTATATAAAGAAATCCATGCGAAAGATCGAAAATTTGTGAAATAAAGCAGCCACCAAACAATTGTGATACAAATTGCCAAACAATACATCCAAAGGCAGAACTACATAAATTATTAATTCATAATCCAAAAAGTGTAATAAAAATAATAATAATACAACAAATGGAGAAAGTGCAAAGTGCTTGTGTGACAATGTCCTTAAATTCAAATTTATTGTGATCAACACTAATTATTAAGTGAAAGTCCATATAATTAGATGACAGTGTCCCCACACTTCCACTTCCTGTTAAGAAAACCATGGTTAAGATAATCACGACACTACCTGCCTTTAGTTTACATGTTCTCCCTGTGCTTGCATGGGTGTCCTCTGGGTACTCCGGTTTCCTCCTACACTCTAAAGACATGCTGGTAGGTTAGTTGACTCCTATTTAAATTGGCCCTAATATGTGTATGTATAAATGTGAGTTAGGGACCTTAGAGTGTACACCCCTTGAGAGCAGAGACTGATGTGAATGTGTAATAAATAAATATGGAAAACACTGAGTAAATTGACAGAGCTATATAAGTACCTGTAAACAGGGGCAAACTGACCATTTGGAAACTCGGGTACTGCCCGAGGGCCCGGGGTCAGTAGGGGGCCCCATGAGATGCTCCTGGTACCTTTTTCATAGGCTTTTTTGAGTTTGGGCAAGGACACAGGGGCCCCATGATCCCCTATTGCCCGGGGGCCCCAGGAGTTGTCAGTCCGCCCCTGACCTGTAATTAATAAATAAAACCCATGCCTCACTGCACAAACAGCATCATGTCACTGTCAATTGCACAAGGCTATTCACAACAGCCTTGTACCATGTGACAAGCTGTGACCAATCACAGCTCGCACAGTATTTCTCAATGGCTGCAGGAATGCAGCCAGAGAGAAGGAGAAATTATTACTTTTACAATCTTTATGGGTGTAAAAGTAATCAGTGTAAAAAAAGAAAACAAAATCTTCATCACCCACCACAAGCAGTACAGTGTCACTATGGTGACACTGTAGTGTTAGGGTGACAGTATGTTGAAAATAAAACAAAAACACAAATAATAATATAAAAAAAATTAAAATGTAAAAAAAACTGTTTGGTTATAAACTAATTTGGGTTATTTTTGTTTTACTAAAAAGACAGATGAATACATTTAGGCCAAGATTTCTGAAGAAAGATTATTTATTTTCAAACTTGTTTAAGAAAAACACTTTTTTTTCAAAATTTTTGGACTTTTTCATTTATATAGCAAAAAAATAAAAATCCCAGTGGTAAATAAATACCACCAAAATAAAGTTTTATCTGTCTCAAAAAATGCTAAAAAATTCATATGGGTACAGTGTTGCATGACCACTCAATTGTCATTCAATAGCACTGAAAGCTGAAAATTGGCCTGGACTGGAAGGGGGTGAAAGTGCCTGGCATTAGGGAAGCTATTTCAACTATCCTGAACCTTTATTTTGTGCCAAAAGATGCCCCCTATTAAGATCATTTTTTTTTCACAGAGGTTGAAACACAGTGAGTGAAAATGAAAGCTGGCAAAAGTACACAAGAAATGATGAAACAAAAGAACAAAAAAAATTACAATTACAAGCAACACCTTATTAAATAAGCTAAACTACCCTAAGAACAACAAAAAACAATAGCAGCCAGTTCATTCCTGCTAGTCACATTAACCACCATGTAGTTCACCAAAACTGTTTAGGCAACAGGCATTTCACAGAGTTAGCCTAGCAAACTGGTATATATTTTGCAAATAAGACCATAGTGTGAGGGGATTTGTTTGCCTGACTGTGTGTATGTGCATGTGGGGACTTAATTAGAAGGGGTAAACTGTGTATATTATTTACAGTAGTTGTAACCAGGGGCGGACTGACCATTTGGAAACTCGGGCACTGCTCGAGGGCCCGGGGTCAGTAGGGGGCCCCATGAGATGCCCCTGGTACCTTTTTCATAGGCTTTTTTTGAGTTTGAGCAAGGACACAGGGGCCTCATGATCCCCTATTGCCCAGGGGCCCCATGAGCTGTCAGTCCGCCCCTGGTTGTAACTATACTATATTAGGCTGTTTCACATCTAATCTCCTGATAACTTGCTGAAAATAGATTAAAGAGTAATACCTCCACTTTTGTTGAGAAAAAAAAAAAAACCCCTTTGGGTGATCTATGTACATTGCAAGCATTTTATTAAACTTTGTTTCAGACTCCATTCTTTAGATATGGGGGGTTATTTACTAAACCTGGAGAGTGCAAAATCTGGAGCAACTGTGAATAGAAACCAATCAGCGTCCAGGTTTTATTGCCAAAGCTTAATTGAACAAGCTGATTTTAGAAGCTGATTGGCTACCATGCACAGCTGCACCTGATTTTGAGTACACCAGGTTTAGTAAATATACCCCATAGTTGTTTGTGTAGAGTGAATCTGTTTGGAAGTGGTTTTATAATTATTAATCTTTTGTAATTATCAATCAGCTGCTGCACCTGAAGGTCTTTAGTGAGAAAATTGACAAGGTTTGCATCTCTTTAGACATAATTTCCCTTTTGGGGGTACCCCACCAAAAATGGCATTTATGTTGCAGGGGATGCCAAAAATATGACTTGTATCTTAGTGCAGACTTCTGGGAAAATCAGTAAGCCAATCACTCAAGCAGGAAATTACAATTTTCAGGGAGCATTCTGTACACCATCTGTGTACAGAACACCTCCAGGTAGCCACATTGCATTTTACAAAAAATTAACCGCTTCCCGACTGCCCTATAGCAGAAATACTGCTACAGTGCAGCACGGGTGCGTAAAATCGCGTATATATATATGTGTGATTTTCCATTTCTGGGTAGGGGTGTTCTCCTCCCTGTCAGCTCGGGCACACTGCTTTAGATGGCTGTGCACAGTATAGCCATGCACAGCAGTATGCTTACAATGAAGCACACAGACACCGCCTCATAGTAAAACACACCCAGCACTCAGTTAATCCTTTGATCACCCCTTCCTGCCCAGTTCCATTAGTACAATGTCAGTGCTTTTTTTTAGCACTTATTACTGTATTGGTGTCACTGCGGATGTCAGTGACATCAAGTCAGTTTCCCCCCAGTGTCAGAATGTCTGCCACAGTCCAGCTATAAGTCGCTGATCGCCGCCATTACTAGTAAAAAGAAAAAATCCCAGTATATGTACTGCCATTTTTTTTTAGCAAAGACATGTAGCAGAATTCATTTGGGCCTAAATTTATGATGAAATTTGATTTTAAAATTTTTTCTACTGGACATGTTTAATAGCAAAAAGTCAAAAATATTGTTTTTTTCTCAACATTTTAGGTCTTTTTTTATTATAGTGCAACAAATAAAAAACGCACAGGTGATCAAATACCACTGAAAGAAAGCTCAATTAATGGGAATTGATTTCAGTTGGGTGCAGCATTGCATGACCGCGCAATTGTCAGTGAAAGTAAAGTAGCGCTGTAATGCAAAAAATGGCCTGGTCAAGAAGGGGGGTAAATCCTCAGGAGGGCAAGTGGTTAAAGTGCTGCAGATTGAAAAGGACATATCATTTTTAATACATTCAAGTACAATATAACATGATTCACAATTGTATAAGCTATATTATTTGTTTTTTTTCCCCATAAAAGTGGAGTTACCCTTTAATGTTCATGAATAAAGAAATTATTCCTACAGCTGACAAAAATCTGATCCCCATATTCATCTGGAATAGATTATCCTGCAAAGCATATTGACAAATTGGCTAAACATTCAACCAGTGGATCAAGAGACTTTGGGGAAGATTTGCCAAAATAGTAGAAAATGTTCACTTAGCAAAGTAACTACTGAATAAAGTGAACCCAATGTGCAGTAAACCAAAATATTTTTTTTATTATTTATTTTTACTTGTATGTTTAGGCATTTACAGTGAATATATTTTATTTAGCTAATTGAACATCCAATATGTTGATTGAAAAATCTCTTGTTTAGTACATCAACCCTAATATTTTAGGTGTATGGTTTGCTTTTCTAAAATCATATAAAGCTATTGAATATTATTATTATACAGGATTTACATAGCGACAACAGTTTGCACAGCACTTTACAAAATTAAGGTAGACAGTACAATTACAATACAATTTGGTACAAGAGGAAACAGAGGGCCCTGCTCGTTAGAGCTTACAATCTAGGAGGAAGGGTTGAGTGATACAAAAGGTAATAGCTGTGGGAGGATGAGCTGATGGATGAAATAAATGGCAGTTTACTAGTTAGAAGCAGAATAGGTTTCTTTAACCGCCTCCTGCCTGCCATATAAGGAAATGACGGGCGCAAGGCGGTTCTATCGTTCATATGACGTTCTCCCACTCTAACTGCTTGTGCACGCCCCCGGGGACTCGCAGCACAGAGATCGGTGGTGCGCTGTGTCCCTAAGACACAGCGTATCACCGATCAACAGAAAGAGTGATGACTTCAACTCTGTCATGTTATCAGCTGTGTCCAATCACAGCTGATCACATGTAAATAAGGAAATGTCGATAACCGCATACTGACAGTTTGTGAGGAGAGGAGAGCAGGTAATTGGCATTACTGAGAGGGGACATGTACACTAATCATCAGTGTAGCCACATCAGTACCAGCTGCCAGTGCCCATCAGTGCCACATTATTGCCACATATCAGTGCCTACCAGTGCACATCAATGCCACATATCAGTGCCCATCTGAGCTGCCATTCAGTGCCACCTATCAGTGTCAGTCAGTGCCACCTATCAATGCCAGTCAGTCACCTATCAGTGCTGCCAGTCAGTGCCGCATATCAGTACCAGTCAGTGCTGCCTATCAGTGCCGCCTAACAGTGCCAGCCAGGGCCACCTAACAGTGCCTATCAGTGCCACCTATCAGTGCCGTATATGAGTGCTGCCTTTCAGTGCAAATCAGTGATGCCTGTCAATGCCCATCAGTGCCACCTACAAGTGCCTCTTCATCAGTGCCCATCAGTGCAGCCTATCAGTGCCCATCAGTGCAGCCTATCAGTGCAGCCTCATAAGCACACATCCGTGAAGGAGAAAAATCACTTCTTTATAAAATGTTATAGCAGAATCTTAATTTTTTTCTAAATTTTCAGTTGTTTTTGGTTTGTTTAGCAAAAAAATAAAAAACCCAGAGGTGATTAAATACCACCAAAAGAAATCTCTATCGGTCTCAAAAAAATTATAAAAATTTTATATGAGTACAATTTTGCATGACCGCGCAGTTGTCATTCAAAGTGCAACAGCAATGAAAGCTGAAAATTGGCCTGGGCAGGAAGGGCGTATAAGTGTCCTGTAGGCAAGTGGTTAAAGAGAAAGGTTTTCAGGGATCGTCTAAAGGTAGGAGATAGCCGGACAGATTTGGGTAGAGCGTTCCATAGGATGGGAGAAGCTCGGGAGAAGTCCTGGAGGAGAGCAAGGGAGTAGGTGACAGGGGAACTAGAGAGCAGAAGGTCTTGGGAGGATCGAAGAGAGCAGTTTGGTTGATATTTTGAGACCAGGTTGGTGATGTAGCTAGGGGCAGAGTTGTGGATGGCTTTGTAAGTTGTTGTTAGTATTTTGAATTTTATTAGTTGGGCAAGTGGAAGCCAGTGGAGGGATTAGCAGACACTGAATGCTTGGTAAGGTGGATAAGCCTGGCAGCAGTATTCATGATGGGCTTGGGGGGGATTAGCCTATTTAAAGGTAAGCCAATGAGGAGGGAGCTGCAGTAGTCGAGGCAAGAGATAACAAGAGAGTGAATTAGGAGCTTTGTGGTATCATTGGTTAAAAAGGGGCATATTCTGGAGATGTTGGGGAGGTTGAGGCGGCATGTTTTGGACAGGGATTGGATGTGGGCCTGAAAGGATAGTTCAGAATCCAAGGTTACCCCTAGCACCCTGGCATGCAGGGATGGGATGATAGTGGTACTATTGATCCCGACCGAGAAATCAGGGGAAGATTCACGTGGATTTGGATTTGCATAGATTGAGTTTTAGGAAGTGGTGTGACATCCAGTCTGATATGTCTGTTAGTAAATCGGTGATATGTGAGGAAACTGATGGGGCGAGCTGAGGAGTAGAGAGATAGATTTGTGTGTCATCAGCATGGTATTGGAAACCATGGGAAGCTATCAACTGACCCAAGGAAGAATAGTAGATCAAGAATAGGAGAGGTAAGTGGAGTAGGAGAGGAGGAAGTAGAGTTGTAAGTCATACTGAAGGTGCAGTGAGATAGGTAAGATTCAAACCAATGGAGAGTACAGTCATGGAGGACAAGTAAATAGAGTTTTTTGAGAAGGAGGGAGTGATCAACTGTGTCAAAGGCAGCAGAGGGGTCCAAGAGTAAGAGTAGAGAACAGTGATCATTGGTTTTAGCGGTTAGTAAGTCATTTGTAAATTTTAGGACAGCAGTTTCTGTGAAGTGTTTGGGCGAAATCCAGACTAAAGGGGATCGAAAAGGTTATTCTCAATAAGATGGCAGCTCAGCCAGTTGAAGACTAGACGTTCAAGGAGTTTGGAGGCAAAAAGGAATAAGGAGATGGGTCTTAGGTTGCTAATATTGGTGGGGTCCAGTGAAGGCTTTTTAAGTATGGGGATGACTAGCACATGTTTTAGAGAGTTGGGGAAGATGCCAGTAGAAAGGGAGAGATTGAAGATATGACTTAAAGAATGAAGGATAGAGCCAGAGGGTGAACATAGTATTTGAGAGGGAACAGAGTCCAGGGGACAGGTGGTTAGGTGGGCTTTAGAAAAAAGTTTACAAACCTCCTCTATAGTAGCTGGGTTAAACAAGGGAAGTGTAGATTGTGCAGGTGGACAAGGAGTGTAGGGTGAGGGAGATATCTGTACATTGGAGATCTCGTCATGAATTGTATCAATCTTATTTTTGAAGTGATTAGCGATCTCCTGGGCAGTGAGTGAGTTAGTGGGTGGACGTAAAGGACGAAGTAGAGAGTTAAAGGTAGAAAAGAGTAGACAGGGATTGCATGAGAGGATGTTAATAATGAGAGTGATAAAATAGGTCTGCTTGGCAGTATGTAGTCAAGAACTGTATTTTTGAAGGGCAGATTTATATTGGTCAAAGTCTTGCTGGGTCTTAGTCTTACGCCATCAATGCTCAAGGGCACAGCTACGTTTTTTGAGGCATCTGGTATTGTCTGTTTGCCAGGGCTGTAGCGGTTGAGGCCTAATTCTGTGTGTAGTGAGGGGGGGCCAATGTGTCCATGGTGGATGACAGTGAACAGAAGTGGTCAGGTTGGAACAGGACAGGGCTGATATTTTGGCATAGAGACAATGTGTTGGCAAAAAAAGAAAAGAAGGGTTAAGATAGTGAAGGTTTCTACAAGTAACTGTTTGATAGTTGGAAGACAAGGAGGAGGAAGCCAAGGAGAGAGTGAAGCTAATAAGGGAATGATCAGAGAGAGGAAAAGGAAAGTTGGAGAGGTTGCAAGGAGTGCATTGGTAGGAGAATACAAGGTTGAGGCAGTTACCATTAGAGTGAGTAGAAGCATGTGTCCATTGTTTTAGGTCAAAAGAAGTGGTTAGGATCAGAAGTTTATAGGGAGCAGGAGTGTTAAGGTTAACAGGGATGTTGAAGTCACCAAGACTGATTCTGGGAATTTCAAAAAAGAGAAATTAATGCAGTCAGGTAGAGTACTCATCAAGAAAGCTTGATACCGGTCCAGGAGGCCGATAGATCATAGCAATTCTTAAAGAAACTGGAGAGAGTAGATGAAAAAAGTGAACTTCAAATGAGGAGAGGGACAGAGAGGAAGGTGAATGAAGGACCTGAAAAGTGCTCCACCTCCTTTCCATCCACTAGGCCTGGGAGAGTGAGTCCAGAGGAGACTACCATGGGAGAGGGCAGCAGGAGAGGGAAAGTCAGATTCATGAAGCCAGGTTTCCGTAATTGCAAGCAAGTTAAAGGAGTTTGTGATAAAAAGGTCAGGGACAGAGGTAAGTTTGTTACAGACAAAGCGGGCATTCCAGAGGGCACAGGAAAAGGGAAGGCTGGTTCTAGGAAGAAGAGGAATAGTAACTAGATTGTGTGGATTGTGGCTGCTGTTAGAGGATAGGGGGTGCTGGGTATGTTGATCAAAGGAAAAAGATGGCGGCCCAGGATTTGGGGAAATGTCTCCAGATGTTAGGAGAAGCAGAAGGGTGAGATAGGTAATATGGGGGTATGACTTATATGGAGGGGCAGGTTCCAGTGTCCTGGAGGTTTTATTAGTATGTGGGATCAGAATTAGTAGGAGTTGATGAGTATAGTAGTAAGGTGAAGACAGGAGTGAGGGTGATATATATAAGCTGTGGGATGGAGAAGAGGGGTAAAGGAGAGAGAGAGTTTGAAGAGAGAAAGTACAACTGCGAAAAGGAGGAGTAGGCAGTGCATGTGACAGAGTGGGGAGATGAAGAAGAAGACTGGATAAGAGCTGGATGGGGAAACGTCACCTGTAGTCTGTTTAGTATTTGAAGTTGTCTGCTGTGGCTTCTCACATTATGCATTCGCTGAAGTGTAGAGCCGAAGTCCAATGCTCAATACTTAATCCAAGAGGAATACTTTAGTCAAGATGATAGTTGCCAATGCTAATTGCCAAGGCTGTGCCTCCCCTAAGGAAGGCCTAAATTTATACTGAATTGGGTGGAGGTGTTGTCAATTAATCAATTAGGAATGCATAGCAGAGACACATGGATAGCAGGGCAAACTTCTCACACCAAAGAAGGAATACAAAAAACAACAAGAGAGCAGGAGGGCAGAGTTGTAAAGTTTAGGATCAGCTCATAAATTTGGATTAGATAATAAGAACAAAATAAATACCACAGTAATATGGACCAGAGTTAGCAATTTTTGAAGCACTAAGAATTAGCAATAAGAACATTGATAGTTATGAATCAGCTTCAGTTCGAGGTGGATTTTAAAAGTAGTATGGTGCAGGGTGAATTAGCATTCATACATGGCATGGGCGATAGTACGGATGGATATTGCTCGCAGACATTCACCATATAGCAGTGCAGGGTGATTGGCATTCATACATGGCATGGGCGATAGTACAGATGGATATTGCTCGCAGACATTTACTTTAGCCAAGATGATAGTTATCAATGCTACCCCTGGCTTTGCTGCCCTTGGATGCTTTTGTTCTTTATCTAGGCACATTTTATGCTGAACATTTTAATCCAGGGAACACAAATACCAGTATAACAGAAGTTCAAAATTCAACATAAAATCAAAATATGAAGCCCTGCTTCTGTAAATGTTTTAAACATAAACAAGGCACCATCTGTAAAGTGAACTTACTAGTTTAAACATATAATCAAATATTGTATGCATGGTAAAATTTGCAAAAACAAATTTCAAAATGAAACGTTCACACAATATTTTCTAGAAAATAAATGCTGCTTAATGAGTTCAAACTCTGAAGCATTTTATTGAAACGCTTTGCTCCAGTCTCATGTTGTGCTATAATGGAGCGCAAACTCTACCGGAGATGGTCACTAGTGTGTCAATACTTGTGCTTTACTTAGTAAATGACCCCGAACAACTTTATTCCTGCTGAGAAAAATGTCCATGTATAATAAATGTAATGAATAAAATAAACATGTATTTTGAAAGTTCTGAATATTGAACAAAATAAATTAAAAAGAAATGCCACAAAGTTCAAAAATTAGGAGGACTGCACATCCTTGTATTCTTGGCAACTAAAATAAAATAACACAAATTTATATTTAAAGTTTGAAAGCATGTTTTGTTAAAGCTAAAATGATACTGTACATACAACATATGTTTCATAAATAAAAGATGTGTTTAAAAATAGTTATATACTGATAATAGTATATGAAATATCAATGGTAAACATCAATTGGAAATCAGAAAAACATTG